ATCTCTAATATCTATTAAGGATATTTTCTATGAGATATGTTGTACAGCATATGGGAAGAAAGCAACCAAGAGTTAGTAGTTTTTAAGTAAGAACTGACTATTTAAATTAGAAGAGACAAAATAACAAAGGCAACTGAAATAACACAGTAAATGTTTTTCAAACTCCTAAAGAAATTGCACAAATTTTTCATCTTTTGTAAATTACATCTTTAGAATAATATTGATAGTTAGAATGGTAGTTCAGTGTTATTTAGACTATTGTTTTAAAATAATTGTGGTTTATTTTTTGGTTTCCATAAAAAAAAAGACATTTCTCTTGTCTTATATGCAGTATCTACACTTTTTCTGACAAACATAATGACAGTATTTTGCTTTATGTGTTCACAAAACAAAAATCTCAATGGTAATAGTATAATATCATACAAATTAACATTTTTATTTCTATGATTGATTATATATTCTCTTTATAGTTCTCATTTAACATGTAAATAATTTCAAGTGTACCGAAAAAAATGACAGTACAAATAGCATTTTTTCTTGAACTATTGAGAATAAATTGCTGTCAAATCTTAATTTTTTTGTTTGACATTTATTCATTACATTTATAGTATATGTTTGATTTTTGCTGTTAATATTGTAAGATGACTTTTAAGAAGCTTTTATAGAAATAAGTACATAATTTCCCTCACTCTTATGATTGCATTATGCTGGTGAAAGATAAAATAATGTCTCTGTGATATGCAAAATCCTATTATAAAAGGTCTCATAACATGTTAACATGATAAAAAAATACTTCTAGATTGAAGCAATGGGTTAAATAATACTTTAACTTGATCCGGGTGTTTTATTCCTCACACTTTGTTTTATTAAATAAAATTTAATGAATTTCATCTATGTAAAGCGCACATTTTGAGGAGTTGTGACAGATGTATATATCCATAAAGTCAAGGACATAATTAGGATACAGAATGTTGTCATAACCGCCTAAAGGTTCATTGTGCTTCTTGCTAGTTGATTCCTCCCACTGAGTTTGGACCTATGTAACCACTTATGATTTGCTTGCATTTTATTAAATTTTACTAAATGTAATATTTGCTATATATGTTACTTTGTGTCTGCCTACATGCACATAGCAAAATACCCTAGATTTATTCATGTTGTGTATTTACCAGTATTTTGTTTCTTCGTATTGCTGAGTAGAATTACACTGTACAAATATAAAAAGTTGGGTTCATCCACATACATGCGGATGGGCATATGGGTTGGTTTCAGTTTGAAATTAATGAAAAGTAAAAATCCTATAAATATGTGAAAGTAAGTTTTTGTGTGTAAATATGTTGTCTTTTTTTTTTTTTGGAATGGAAGGACAACATTATACACTAAGTGTGTAACTTTCAGAAAATAAATAAACAGTTGCCGAAAGTGTTATATTTTACATACCAACCAGTAAGGTTTTATATTCCAAATATTTGTCAGCACAGGTTTGTCAACACACCTGCCCCATATTTCTGCCTGGAGACATCTTCCAGAATATTGGCTTGGGAAGAAAACCTAAATTGAGTCTAGCAGATTTCCAGTAGGAGAAAAAAATATATCAGAGGTTAGGGAGGCTGAGACTACAGGAAATTACAAGGCATAGCTGTGGAAAGAAACAGGCAAGAAAAGAGCTACAGAAATGCATACCAGGTTCCTCCTGGGTAAGAATGAAAAACAAACAGCACACTGGTCAATGTAAAGTCAACCGTACTTTAATCATATTAAATATATGTGCTGTAAACATTACAGTTGATAAAATAGAAAACAAAACAAATTGGGTTTCAACTAGATGCACCTACAAAACAGAATGGCTTGGACCACTATCTTATGTACTAGAAGCCATATTTATGTATCACTTCAAATCCTTGAAAAATAGTACCAATATTTCTCCTTACTGTAATGCTATTTTCTGACTCTTCTACTCTACTGATATCCAATGGGTAAACCAAAGTATATTCATTATTGTTCTATCTCTCTTTAAATCTATTATTAATGGGTACACAGTTATGGATATTCTTTTTCCCAGAAACATACTTTCTGTACATACATCCCTCAAAGTAATTATGTTGTATAATATAAAATAAAAAGAAATAATGTAAAATACAAAAAAGTAGAGAGGAAACCAGCTGAAAACTGATTTTTCTTTCATCGCTTTGCTCTTTTCTTGTACTTCAGCACATAGACTAGTTTAACAAAAATATAAGGGAGATGATAGCCAGTCAATGTGTTCAGACTTTTCAGAAATTGAAATATTCTCTGATGTACCAGCAGTTAAATTTAGAAATTACTTTGTTAACTAAAAATGCCTACATATGAGTCTCTCCACTCTGTGTCAAAGAGACAATTAAATCCATGCCTTGGAAAGGGCAGAAATTCAGATGTAATGTTCAAATGTGATATCATCTTTTTATCCATTGTAGATTATCATGCATAACGGAGAACATAAACCAATACCTTTCCAAATTATATGTGCATAAAATTAACTTTTAGAAATATTATATTATCTAGTAAACACAAAGTAAGATTTTTAATATAAATTATATCTCTCTTAATGCCAGTCAGCTTTTTTAATAATCATGTGCTTTAACATAATAGATACAAATTATCTATTACAGTTAATTGTCTTTCTGTTCTTTTGTTCCAGCATATTTGGTTGTCTCTTTATCTATTTACTTAAATAGCTTATAATTTCAGGCAGGTATTCAAACTTTCAACAAAGACTGAATATTTATAATATTGCATAAGCTTCAGTGCTGAAGTAGCTAGATTTAAAGGGCTCGTAAGTTAATAGAAAAATAAGTTGCCAAAACTTAGGACTAAAGAGTAGGTTCTAATATGTTAAATTATTTTTTATGCTTCGTTGTTTACCGGAAGAGCTTGGCTTACCAGTCTCTGCAGGCAAAAAAACAAAGTAAAAGATCTCTTTTTTCATCTGAGTGTTTTACGAAATTAAATTATCATGTAAGGCCGTCCCTAGGAGAACGTCCTGTTTATTTTTGTCAGCATCCCCTTTTCATGACCTTTGAAAACATTTTGCTTTTCAACCATGTCTTTCCTCCAACTGTTCTTTAGAAAATAAATTGAAAGTTCACCTGATGGTGATGATCTAATAAGAAAGACTTTTCAATGTCAGATTGAAATTGGAAAAACACATTAAAATTTGTCATGATTTTAGATATATTTTACCCCAAAGCTAAAACATTTCTTCTAAAGACTTCTGTGTTTTTCTCCTGAAAAATTAAATTAAAAAAAAAAAAAACACCTCTCCTTTTTCACAGGGTGTGTGAGCAGATTAAATGAGGTACTCAACATTGCTTTCTAATATATCACATGCTTCTTGATTTATAGTTTTAGAGAAAAATTCATAAACAAACTTGTGTTTTCTTCCTTTGCTTATACTATTATGATTTATATGCATACTCTATCTTTCCGTTTAAACATAAAATTTTTAAGTTGGACAACATGTCTGTTTTGTTTGCATAATTACTCAAAGCTAATACAAAGGTGAATTTTACCCACCAACTACTCAATAATGTCTGTTAGTGAATGTAATATGCTACATTTTTTGGTAAGTTCTATTGATACCAAGTGGTTATTAATTTATTATTTATGTTGTGTATTATATAAAAATCTTGGAAGGCAGGCATCTTTATTCCCACTTAACTGAAGAATATCTAAGACCTTCAAAAGTTAAGTGTTATGCCAAATAAGGTCATATGGTTGTGTGTAAGTATCTTTAAAGCTCAGAAAACATTGTCAAATATCATTATACTTGATTGTCAACACCTCAGTCAGATGGTTAATTATAAACATTGAACAGTGATAAGTTATGTTGCTGACATGTACTCTTGATATGATAATTCGACAATGACACTTTGCCTCTGCTATTTCCCTGCTGAAAACACATAACTCCAAGGACAATTATGATTTAAAAAATCAGAAAATTTGTCATTGAGGGACATTATTTAAAATAATTGACCAGTAGTGCTCAAAACTGTCAAGGTCATAAAAAACAAGTCTGAGAAAGTGTCATGGCCAAAAGGAGGTTAAGAAACATGACGATTAAGTATAATATGGTGTTCTGAATGATATTGTGGAACATAAAAATGGCAGTGGGTAAAAACTAAGCAATCTTAATAAAGAAGAGATTTCCATTCATAATGCATCCATCTGGTTTAGTTTATTAATTGTAACAATGTACCATAGTATTAAAAGATGCCCTAAATTTGAAAAAAGAATCTTTCCTGATTGCTGTCACATTTCATTAAGAACCAAAAAAGTTTAGTTATACCCAGTTTCATAGAAATCTTTAAAGTAGATTGACAAGTTTAAGTAGGCAAAGATGATACTTGCTCTTTCTTGCATTTGTATTAGCCACTATAGCTAAGCTTTAAATTATTTAACTGACTCACATGCCTGCTGACAAGAGCTTCTTTTCAGTAGTACATCAGCTAAATAAAGACAGATATTGCCTTGAAGGTTTTCTTTTAATAATAATAGTCCCTTTATATTGGTGTGATGCTTATAATGTCCAAAGTGCTTTTACATTCATTTCTTGAGTAAATTATTAAAAAAGAATATTTCAAAAAGTCAGCAGTCTTCAAAACTCTTCCCACTTACATGGTGACCTTTCATATTATCTCCATTTACACCAACGTTCTTCCCAAAGTCCATGCTCTGTTGTACTGCTCATATTCTTCCTCCAGCATAAAGGCACCCTTTTCCCGGGTACTAGAAGTGTTTAGTGCTAACAGTTCACAGAAAAATGCGGTCTACACAGGAAGTTTGCTTTCATTTCATAGTCCCTCTTGGGGGCAGTCTGCATCTCATTTAGTTATCTATATGGAATTAAAAATTCCAGGCCATTTTCTTATTCTGGGAAATTCTAAGCTTTCATGACAATTTCAAGTATTTCTGTGTTGTCTTTGTGACTGCATCTTAGTTCAACATTTCTGTTCTTCCAGTTCTGCTTCCTTCACTCTCTGAGAGTTATTGTTATGATGACTCTCCAATGAACCTCCTGTATCTCTGCTGCATGTCTATTATCTGGGGTAATCTCCCCAAAAAGTAGTGTCAAGCAGCATGTCTGATTATTCAACTTACGCAGAAATAGAAGTATGCTAAGGTAAGAATGAATTAACCTATAGGTAATGAGAAACAGCACATATGATTAGTCAAAACATGAAAAGATGCCTGTGGAAGAAACATGTGAGTGTATCTATGTGACTTGGAATGAATTGTGCAGATATTTGTGTTGCATTTTAAGTTTACCAGAGAGGATTCCTCATCGAAGAATCAGTCCCTAAAAAGCCACACAGAAGCAATGATTTGAGCAGTTTCTATTATCCAGGTTCTGTCATTGGCTACACCATAGCAGGCACAAACTACATATACAGAGTGGACACAATATCCGAGATAGAGAATGTCCATGGCTTAACAGCGTAACCTCCCACCCACAAAAGCTAATCTAGTTAATGCTGCTGCAGAATACCACATATCTAAGGAACAAGAGGCCCCTGACATGGCATAATTTTTTCAAGGAGAATTTCCAGCTACTTCATAAACATCTGGTACATGCAACATTCTCAGTCTGGAAGGAAAGTTGATTTCTCATTATTACAACATGAATATTTCTTTCTTCTGGGCAAGGCATTGTCAGCATGAATATCCAAGGATGTGATGAATGTTTGAAATGTGATCTAGTGATCAATCAATACCATTTTTTAAAACAAAAGAGTCACTTTACAGAAAAGGAGATATGACTGGGATCCATAAATACTGTTACGCACTGCCCTGCCAAAGATGAACAGGCAATAAAAAGAGCCAGCATGTTGTCAAGAGTAATTAACCCTGACAATTAAGGGGAGGTATGGCTGTCATTACCCTACTGACCCACAACTCTTTATTTTTAAAATGGCGCTGTACTCATTGGTCTGCTTTGCTATAAATTAGTTCCAATTATACCTCTCTGTTTCTAGAGATTCTATTCTGTTTCATTTTAAAATTTGCCATTGTGCTAATATCACATTTCTATATTTAGTGTAGTATATAATAAGCCATGTGTTCTAGTAGAATAGATTCTCCATTTTGTTCTTTTAAAATGTCTTTCTGACCATTTCTCATTTCTTGCAAATTTTAGAATGTGTTGGTCAATGTTCACCATAAGTACTGCTTGCATTTGGTGTGATTGTATTGAATCCAGGATTCTGTTCAAAACAATTGCTCTATTTGCAATGTCTTCAACTCATAAACTCTATACTACTTCATTTATTTATGGACTTTATATAATGTATAGTTTTCTCTGTAGATATCCATCTCATTAGGTTCAATTCTAATCCCGTGATACATTTATAAATGGTATCTTTCTTCTAAAATTTCACTTTCCAAATATTATTGCCACCATATAGAAATAAACTTGATTTTTATATTGAGTTAAACTTGTATCTATAGCCAATGTCAAAGTTGTCATTTAATTATAAGAATTCTATAAGTTACACATGCCTTTGGATTTTTAAACAATATTTTGAAAAATTACAGTCATACGTTTTATTTCAATCCTTATGAAATTCATTTTCTATTCCCGTTTTCTTTCTCTGCTTAACACTCTTAGCTTGGGGCAAGATGGCTGACAAGACATGGCCAGGTGGAAATGCTGCCAGCAAGGGACTGAGGTTACTGGTGCACTCTTTCCACAGTGTCAGGCGGAAGGCATCAGGAGTGGTCGAGAGAAGACACAGAAATAAACTGGGCTGAAATGGGAGGAACCTTACACAGGGCTACCATACACCGGGACTGGGACTTGTTCCTGGTCCCCAGTGACTCTCAGGGAATGGGTGAGTTGAACTTGCAAGGGCGACATGCTCTAACCATGGACCTCTGGAATCCCAACTGCAGGAGGCCCCTCAACGGTTGTGGACACTCGGGTTGGCAGGGAGGTCTGTTTAGAGAAGTGGTGGGGTCAGCAAGCCAGCTGATGGAGAACCCAGAAAGTTTGGTGCAAGAACAATTGTAGTGAAGTATGGCCAGGGACCATCATCCCCCTTGGCTTGACATGATCCCACATAGGAGACTTTAATTCTCTGGAAACAGTTGGACCTGAACTCCGCAGGGTGGTCTTGCCCGTTAGACAAGGTTGGCCCAAAATGCACACCCCTTGGTTTGCTGTCCTCTCCCAGGGCGAGAGCCTGGCAGTGCCTGCTTGCAGGAAGCCTCAGATATCCGGGGGCCTGCATCAGAGCTTCTGTGCTGGCAGACTTTGCATGATAGTGGGGAACAGCTCCAGAAGCACAGCTGCCATGGCCACACACCAGCCTGCCCACTCCCTCCCCACACAACAGCTTCGAGTGAGTCCACAGCAAATACCCACATCACTTTGCTGGCACGTGTGTGCACAGATGAGTTTTGCTTTTCTTACCTTCCTTTGGGTACATAGTGACCCGGGAGGCTCAAGCACCATACAAATCAGGGTGAAGGCCACTATACCAGATAAGCAAAGTTTCACCAATTTCCTTATTCTAAGTGTCTCTCAGGAAGAGTGCTCCATCATTTTCGCAGTAGATTCACCTGTTGAATGTCTGTGTGGGATTAGAGATGATCTGTCTAAGGGTTATGCTGTGGTACACATGGTGGTCGGGTGCTTTTTCTCTTGCAAGGGAAAATGTGGGGAGTTGTCCCGGTCATCAGACACTTCAGGATCTTCTAGAGTTGCAGACAGCTCGCTTGTTCAAGCTCTTAACCTTCTCAGGGGATGATCTAGGTAGAGAAGAAAAAGGTCCAGCCAGTTTTGTTTTACGGAGGACAGTTCTCAAGCCATGCTCTTTGCTAAATTGGCTGCACATCTGTCATAGCTTACATTCTCTATTTGCCTATTCTGTTTCTTCCCATTCTTTCCACAGGTGTGGATCCTGATAAATACTTTAAGACCCACATTCTGTATTATTTTCTGTTTCCAGAGTACTCATCATAAAGCATCCACCCTAAAGAACAAAAAGGAATCAGATTTTGAATAAGCAACTTGTTGCAATAAGGCAGTCTTCTTCACTCATGTTCTAGAGTTCCCATACCGAGATAATTCCAAGCAAGTACTAGATATTTTTGTTTGTTTTGTTATTTAATTTTAATTTTATTTTGTTTCTTTTTTTTTCAACTTTCTTCTTAGGTTTAGAGTGTACATGTTCTGGTTCAATACATGGGCGAATTTTGTGTTGTTCAGATTTGGTATATGAATGATCCCATCACTCAGGTAGCATTCAAGTCTTAGCTATTTTGAGTTTCTAAAGGTAAGCCAAGAACACATTCTAGAAATAAATAAGCTACAAATGTAATTTTCCTTATTTAACAAAACATAACATTCACTTCGAACACAGCTCACAAAAATATATCGCTTGAGAAGGAAATATTAACATGCTTGCTACGTTCATTACTGTGAATCTGTGTGTGATGTGTTTAGCACCAAAAATCAGCATTGACACTTACCTGGAAAAGTGTAAATACATTATTATTGAAAATGCTCCCCCTCCATTATCACCTATTCACATAAAATATAAAATTGCTGGGTTATAGAAATACAATTTAAATGTTATATTTAACCAATTTGATATCTTAGGTGATTCCAGTATAATTTATTATATTTTTCAGTAGGTACATAGGAAAAACTGTTACTGCAATAAAGTGGTTTTAAATAGTCTTAAAGTGATAATTCACCCCCCATTTTTTTGCTGTGGTTTTCAATTTTCTTTTTTCGTTTGTTTGTTTTCGTTTAATTTTCTTGCCAATATTATTGTGAAACAAAAGTTTGGTCTTTGACTATGTATGTTATACCTATTTTAAATATTTATGTTCCCAAGTGTGTTTAATCTTCCCTAACTGGGAAAGCAGTAAAAATGGCACTAGACCACCATCCTATTTTATACCAGTTAATGCAGAATATGTGTAAAATTGACCTTAACATTCTTTATTATTACATTTTCTTTTTTATATATAGGTAGTTATACACTTGTTATTGTTTCTTTTGATGTTTTCCTAATGCATTTCATCAATGTGAGTGAGAGTGGCAAGAGGCAGCCAATTGCCCAGGTAGATAGGGGAGGGTCTCTGGTGCAACCCCATGTCTAAGCCAAAGACAACTGAAGGCCTGAAAGCCAAGCTACAAGTGAAATCCTCAGACTTGCTTGAGAACTTGTCTTCCTGTTTGGCGTGCGTTCCCCCGATTCATCCCCAACCTTCACTTGCTTTACATAAACCTGCCCTTCCCTAACTGATCTTCTACACTGTTGTTCTCATCTTTGAATGATGTCTTCACTTTAACCTTTTACCATTATTTAAAAATTACATTTAAAAGTATCTGTAAATATTTGGGAGAAATGTCTTAGGCGATCACTTAATTCGATCATGATGTTTGCCCTTCTGTGTGAAAATACATTGAGTATCCAATGTGAGACACAGAAAGGATTGTGGATCCATGTTTTTCATTTCTTCCAGCAATAAATTTTTACTTTGCTTGGGAAAAGTAAACACTAAGTTGACAATGACTCAATTTGTACACTGCATGAAAAGATCTACCATTTTCAGACGTATGTGTTATTCAAAGTTTTCAGTAAATACTTTTACATTGGTAGAACATACTGTAATCGAGGACACTGTAAACCAAATTGTTCTTACAATTTAGAATTTAATTTTTCAGAAATGCCACAAATTAGATTATCATTACTTTTTAAAACCTTATGGTACTTTAAGTTCTGGGATACATATGCAGAATGTGCAAGTTTGTTACTTAGGTATATGTGTGCTTAGGTGGTTTGTTGCATCCTCAAACACAAACTACATGAAGTATTTCTCCTAATGCTATGCCTCCCCTTTCTCCCCACCCCCCAACAGACCCTGGTGTATGATATTCACCTCCCTGTGCCCATATGTTCCCATTGTTCACCTCCCACTTATGAGTGAGAACCTGCAGGGTTTGGTTTTCTGTTCTTGTGTTGGTTTGCTGAGAATGATGGTTTCCAGCTTCATCGATGTCCTTGCAAAGGACATGAATTCATTGATTTTTATGGCTGCATAGCATTCCATGGTGTGTATGTGCCACATTTTCTTTATCCAGTCTATCATTGATGGGCATTTTTCTTGGTTCCAAGTCTTTGCTATTGTGAATAGTGCTGCAGTAAACATATGTGTTCATGCATCTATGTAGTAGAATGATTTATTATCCTCTGGGTATATAGCCAGTAATGGGATTGCTGGGTCACAGTAATGCTATTTCTGGTTCTGTATCCTTCAGGAATCTCCACACTGTCTTCCACAGTTTGGGCTAAATTTTGTATAATTTACACTCCCACCAACAATGTAAAAGTATTGGTGTTTCTCCACATCCTCTCCAGCATCTGTTGTTTCCTGATTTTTTAATGATCACCATTCTAACTGGCGTGAGATGGTATCTCATTGTGCTTTCAGTTCACATTTCTGTAATGACCAGTGTTAATGACCTTTTTTACATGTTTTTTGGCCATGTAAATGTCTTCTTTTGAGAAGTGTCTGTTTATATCCTTTGCTCACTTTTTGATGATATTGCTTTTATTTTGTAAATTTATTTAAGTTCCTTGTAGATTCTGGATATTAGCCCATTGTGAGATGGATAGATTACACAAATTTTCTCCCATTCTGTAGGTTGCCTGTTCATTCTGATGATAGTTATTTTGTGGTACAGAAGCTCTTCAGTTTAGTCAGATTCCAGTTGTCAATTTTGGCTTTTGTTAATTGCTTTTTATGTTTTAGTTGTGAAGTCTTTGCCTATGCCTATGTGTAAGCGAACAGAGGACTCAGAAATAACATCACACATCTATAACCATTTGATCTTTGATAAACATGACAAAAACAAGCAATAGGAAAAGGAGTCCATAGTCAATAAATAATTTTGGGGAAAAAAGCCTAGCCGTATGCAGAAAACTGAAACTGGATCCCTTCTTTACCTTATGTATAAGGTAATTTATTACCTTATACAAAAATTAACTCAAGATGGATTAGAGATTTAAACAGAAGACCTAAAACCATAAAAACCATAGAAGATATTTCTTAAGTGAATTTTTGGTGACTAAAATGTTTATTCTATCATTTTATGATGATGAACTTTGGCTTATATGAAACCTCTATAATAGTTGGATTTTTATTTTGTTTTACTAGTCTTCATAATAAAGGAATAAACAAAATCATGAAAAATATCCTGCTGCATTTAAATGAGTGTGCAGTGAGTCATTTAACATTATTCATGTTATATTATGAACATTTGAATTGCTTGGCAATAGCAGACTCATCCAGAAAGTTGAGACAATTAAAATGGAGAAACAGTGTTGTACAAAACATGTTTAGTTTTCTAGATTGCTTTCAACTAGGATTTGTCAATCTTACTCATTTCAACATTTCCGACGTTCGGTATTGACCAATGATATTTCTTAATGTCTGAAACTATTAGCCATAAATAAGGAAAATAAATAAAATAAGCTTGAATTTGTGTTAAATTTTATATAAAGATGAAAGGCTATACATTGCTCATATAATACGTGAATAGAACAGATTGTCCACCCAGTCTAATGCAAAGTTAGGCAAATAATTGTTTTAAATATTTGAGAAAAGTATTTAAAATAATGGAAATGAGGTATGTGATTTTGTTAAAACGCTACAATGATAAAAATATACTATAGGCCAGGTGGCTTATCAACAATAAAAACTTATTTCTTGCAGTCTTGGAGGTTGGAGATGAGTACAATCCTAAACAGATTCTGTGAGGAGCTTTCTCAGGTTTTCAGGCTACTATTTTTTTTTTCTTTTCTTATTTTTTGAGACCGGGTCTCACTCTTTCACCCAGGCTGGAGTGCAGTGGTGTGATCTCCGTTCACTGCAACCTCCACCTCCAAGGTTCAAGCGAGTCTCCTACCTTAGCCTCCCCAATACAGAAGCTGGGATTACAGGCACCCACCACTGCACCTGACTAATTTTTAAATATTTTTAGTAGAGATTGGGGTTTCTCCATATTGGCCCGGCTGGTCTCAATCTCCTGATCTCATATGATTCGCCTGCCTTGGCATCCCAAAGTGCTGGGATTACACGTGTTAGCTACCATGCTTTGCTGACTATTAGTTTGTATTGCATTTTCAATCAGCAGAAAGAGCTAGAGATAGCTCTATGGCTTCTTATTAAGGCACTAATCCCATTCATAAGGGCTTCACCCTTGTGGCCTAACTACCCCTCAAAGGCCTCACCTTCAAACATTGTTCTTCATGGACTTCAATTTCAACATATGAACTTTGTAAGGGAATGTTTGTGGAGGCAGGTTACAAACATTCAGTTCATAACAAGTAACCAGGTTCTTTCTCTAAAACTTGAGATTTGGCAATCAAAGCCTACATCAAAGTCACTTTTGTTTGTCTCTTTTGTGTCCTATGAAGACATAGATTGGTACTTGATGCCCTTAACATGTCTATGGAGGCTAGTTTTAATTGGCTTCTTTAATTGTTATCTCTAAAGTTTTAGTGATTCTTGGTATTTGAGAATCATATCTGAAATATTTAGACAAACGTCAAAAAAAGAAGTCTTATAAAACTTATTATCCACTACTGAAAAAGAATAATTTCATTAGATGTTTTGAAACAATATACTCAAATATGTCAGTCAAGTTGAGGATCTGTGAGCTCATCTTTATATATCAATTATTGAAAAGCTATTCAAATAATACAAAAGTTTTAGATTGTCTTAGCAGCAAATTATCTAAATATGTAAAATGCTTCAGTTTTAAATTTCTTCTTCTTTTTTTCCATCTCTCTCTTCTTCTGTTCCCCAATTCCACAATTTGGAAGTAGCAAAGTGTCCTGCTTATGAATGCCAAGACTATAATATTAAAGGAGACTGGAAAAAAAAAGTTACTTTCAAGTATGCAACCTGAAATGTGTTATCATCTTATAAGAACTGCGTTGAGACACAAAAACTCTAATGTAATGTATAGGCCAGATTTATTCTCTTCCAATGTAGAGATGAGACATTGATCACCACCTGCAGAGGTCTGTCCTGCAGACCCAGACTCAGTGATGGATGAATGAATGCATTCTCACACCTGGTTCAGTGATTCAAGTGGGCTAGAGATGGTCATTGGCTGCTTTCCAAGGAAAATTGCTGCCAATGCACCAAGAACCCCTGTCCAATCCTCACATTTACTCAGTAAAGATTTCACAACAGAGGTTCTAAGTCAGCATGCTGTGGAAAATTAACATGGTTAAAACAGTGGTTTTACGAATGATAAAGGAGTGGTTTTACGAATGATAAAAGCTTTAGGTTCCTGGGCCCAGAGTAAACACTACCCCTTTGATTTCCCCATGAGAGGGACATCCAGCAAAAAGTTTGCATGAGTAAACAGAGTAGAGACAAAGGTATGTGGGGTAAACAGACCTAACTGGGAAAGTTTCTTATCGTCTCTATCTTTTAGCCTGTCCCAATAAAACCTTTCAGCTTTCCAAAAGGTTTGAGGCTAATCATAACGTTCCCTAATGTTTCCCCAATATTTTGCCAGCCACCCCATATGAATTCCAACATCGAGATCTTAGAGTTTGTTTCTTAATTTACTAGAAATTATGTTGTAGGTCTTTTGTAGAAACCCTGATGTCTTGCTGAGCCACATATTATTAGACTATTTTAGAATAGAAAGGATAACAGAGTTTTCAGTTCAGCATAGGAATACATAGGACACTTATTAGTTGCCCATCCCCTGGTCCTGTCTGCCCCTAAGATTATTTTTCTCTTTTCCCCTCCTCAGGTTTCTAAATAAATAAATAAATAAATAAACCATAAGAGCCAAAAGACTTTGTTATATTAGTTAAGAAACTATCATAGAATATTACTTCTTTGATTCAAAGAAATGTTTCTTCTTTGATTCAAAGTATAAATTGTTCCTGCTTTCCAGTTCTTTGGAACCCCAAGTGTGATTTTTGAGTCTAAATTATTGGGATAATCATCTCAATTCCTCATTTCCCTCAGTTATGGAAATTCATCCTGGGTGTTTTATGTGAATGATAATATGTAATTGAGCTGTTAAATGAATATAAGCTTAGGACATTTAAAAATTGTAATATAATTTTTTGGTGTGTGCACTTAATACTACCAGACCCTTCCAACCATTTATATAAATGCAACTACTAATCACTTATATTAGAATGAACTGATATGTCAATAGCACCGTCTTTAAACTCTTGAGGATTTCATCTTCTATATGAGGTATTTAATTTCATGCTCTAATAAAACTGCCGATTTATATTCTCTACTAACTAATCCTCTGACTGTTCAATAATAATTAAATTGTATGGTGTTTTCCAAAAAGACAGCTTTAAGTTGTTACTAGAAAGAGAAAAGAGCTGCTTGCATAAATGTCAACTGGCTATGTTGTTTGTTAATATGGCTAAAAGCCCTTACTAATTTGAAATATATCAACGTTAGTGTGTTAAAGTCAAGATACTTTTCAGTTAGTTTATGCTATATACTTTCATTATGTTTGAGTGCAAAATTTAAATAAACAACTCGGAGTTCCCATTATTTTCTTTAGCAAAATAAATCACACTATTTGTACTTGTTTTTTATGTAATTTTTCATAACTTCAACCAAATAAAACTACTTAAATATCTAATTCATTTGCTTAGTTTGATCTTTTGTAAATTTTTAAATCCCATGGTATTATTGTGATTGTTATTTAATTTGTTGTTTTCCATTTTTGAGTTCATGGCATTCTAGCTTATTCTTAATAAAACCAGAACTAATGGTTCCAAAATTTAATTTTGAAGAATTACATATTATGCTAAAAATGTTTAGAAACAAATTTCAAAAGTATACATATTATACTAAAATTTAGACCTGTTCTAAAATATAATTACTATTCTGAGTTTAGACTATCTGCTTTAGAATTATGTGATTAAATATGCATATATAGTACTATTAACATATTATTATATTTTTTTCAGATTATAAACCTAAAGTATTGTAATATTTTAAGCACTTAAATATTTTAAAAGGAAATTAATATTTCTTCTTTTAATTTAGGTTCTACTGACTTTGAATATTTGAATTTTTTATTGGAATTATACACCTAAGCAAGCATATTATGCTATTTCTTAAAGAAATCAGTCCTAAGCAAACTAAACGTCTGATATGTGTGCATAATTTAAAAGAGAACAGTGGGTGAATTTCTTCCCTAGAATGTATTAAGCTTTCGGTATGTTCTGCTTCTTCTACATATAACTGTTAGATTGTATTGAGTTATGGAGGAAGGCAGTAATGTCTATTTTAGAAAGAAAAAAAATACCATTCCAGATGTCTACTTTTGAAATACTATATATATCATATTTACCTTTTCACCTAAATCGACTATTTTGGTTTTGTTTTTATTTGTTTGTTTGTTTTTAATGGCATACTATTTTAGATATGTAGGTGTTTTATCTTCTTTTATCCCTATGTAAATATTTAGTTTAAAAAAATATTTCCTGCTTCTTGTTTGGACTACCTACTGCAATTCATTTTTCATTTAGTTTGATTTTATTTTTATTTTGTAATATATAATTTTCTCTAATTTTAAGCTGTCTCAACGGGCATGTCATGCTGATGAGTAAGACAGGGAAAGAGACTACTATGCCTTTGTGTAGGAAAGCTAATCAAAGGGTCTTCAATTTAGGGTGTAGCATTATTGAGTTTTCCCTTGATCACAAACAAATGCCATTAACAAGATGCCTTTCTTTGGTCTTATTATTTTCTTCATTTAAACAACTGTCATTCATCTTTCTAGATGGCAAAAGTTTGAACGTTTGCACCCTAGATTTAAAGTAGGAGAATAGGGTGGAACAATGGCTGCATCATTGAAGTAACACATTCTCTTTTAATCTTTCTACTTTCCCTTTGGTAGTCCCATCTCAGCTGTGCCCGATTTCCTTAAGTACCTATGGTGGGTAATTGTCTAGCAGCCTATTTGTGTCTTTCAAAGCATTCTCCCTTATCAAACCTTGCAGCAACTTTGAGGGCAGTTGATGTCGTAAGAACCTGAGCTTATCCTAGATTTTTCAAGGCGCAGAGATGACATCTGATCTTCCCATTTGTATTTATCTCTGCTTTCTCAGTTATCAGTAATGTATTTGCTTTTCAACTTTCAAGAAAAAATAATCTGTCATTTTTCTACTGTTCCCCTCGTTCTTGTCAATGGTATGCTTTCCTCCTTTTTAGATCTTTTTAATGTATTTTTTGTTGTTGGGAATTCAGAAAGTATTAAGGAGAACATATGTTAACTTTACCATCTTTGAGTGAAAGACCTTATTTTAAACTACATGAAGAAAATAAGAGAAATTTACTATTTTTATTTTTCTTAGTTATTTTATTTTTTAACTTTTAAGTTCAGAGGTACAAGTGCAGGTTTGTTACATAGGTAAATTTGTGTCATGGGAATTTGTTGTACAGATTATTTCATCACCCAGGTATAAAGTCTAGTACCCATTAGTTATTTTTTCTGATCCTCTTATTCCTCCCACCCTTCACCCGCTAAAAGGCCTCAATGTCATTTCCTTCTATGTGTCCATGTAGAAAAGACATAAATACACCTTGACCCAGCAATCCCATTATTGGGTACATACCTGAAGGAATATAAATTATTCTATTATAATGACACATGCAAATAAATGTTCACTGCACCACTGTTCACAATAGTAAAGATATGGAATCAACTACATGCCTATCAATGATAAACTAGATAAAGAAAATGTGGTAGATATGCATTACACAATATTATGCAGCCATAAAAAAAGAGGTGAGCTAATGTTCTTTGCAGGAACATGCATGGAGCTAGAGGTCATTATAGTTAGCAAATGAACACAGGAACAGAAAACTGAATATCACATGTTCTAATTTATAAGTGAGAGCTTAATAATAGAAAATTATTTGAGAAAAATGTTTTAGAAAGTAAAATATAATAAATATATTTTCTCAGTTAGAATGCTTCAATATATATTTTTCAAGAAATAAAAAGTTCTATATCCCAATTTGACCAAAGGTGCTCCTTTTTTGGAAAAGAGCTAATACTACTTTTATTGTACTTTTCAAGAAAATGTCATCATTAGTTACTAATTATATTCTTTAAAGTTCTAGCTTCTAAGAATGGAAAAAAAAAGTTATAAGTCAAAATTATTTTCCTTACAAAATACATAGCATGAAATAAAACTGTCTCTAAAAGTTTCTTTAGATCTTAATTTTTGGTGATTCTTAAAACTCAATTGGCATTTTTTTAAATTATCTTGTTAGTATTGCTATGTGATTGCAAATTCACTTACTTTTCAAAGCCTTAAGTAAAATTTTCAACATTGATTTTCTTGTAAAACTTTTTCATTCAAAAACTGCAGTTTTGATGGACAGTTTTCTTGTATTTAAAATTTCTTGAGCTCTTTAATTCAAAGTAGGGGTGTAGATTTTAGACATTCAAGTCTATTAGAGGAAGTGAAGCTGAATAAAATTGCAGATATTGAATCTTTCAGTAATAACATTCAATTCTCCCTTATCTTAGTTTCTTCAGCAATAGCTTTAGAATTGTGTATATTAGCTGAATATTTGATAAATCTCTTAAATCTAAGGAAAATACTACTTGATATTAGTGGGTCATTTATTAATATCCCTTATGTCTTAAAACTCTCTTATTGCCATTATGAGTTAAAATGTCTCTTTTGTTTGTTTGTATTACATTGTTCATAAATAGTGTCGCCTCAGATTTGCATTATGTAGTATTATATCTTCAAATGTATATTTGGTTGAATATTTTTTTTAATTTGGCAAGACTTCACATCTTGCAGAGATAGATTTATATTTCCCAATCTTGAGAATCTTTTAGATACCTCAGAAAATATCTACAAAATGTAAAACGTGACTAAAAACAGATGAAGAAAAAAATAAAATAAAGTAGATCTGAAAACAAAATTGTTAAAGTTCCCAGGAAACCCGGAATAATTGTATATTTAGCTATTTTAGTTTATCTCTTTTCTGTGATTTCATGGTTAATTCATCTTTATAAATCATCCAATTCTCTGTCATTTCTTTGCTTATATTTTTCTTTTAAAAAATTATGAAAATGAACTGTTGACTATAACCCTAACATGTTCAGACGTTTTTCATGTAAAACATAGCAACCCTGCCTGCTTTGTTTTATTGGTTAAATTTGACTCATCCATTCAATCAAAAGTTAGGAATGGGAGACTTTCTCTTGATGTTGCAGAAGTGAACACTCCACGTGAAGACAGGATTAAAATGGATTGTTAAGCAAGGTTTGCTGGAGAGAGCAGAATTCTGTTATTATCATAGAATTTAGAAACCCAAATATAACATAGGCATCGTGTTCGCCAATAGACTCACTATAAAGGTCTAAAAAGAAAACGAGGAACAATCTTGC